ATATTCGTGTCATTAAAAATTTGTACTGAAATCAAACTGCTATCGTAAAAATTGGAGATAACTACACCGATGAAATCCCCATACAACGAAGAGCCAATATTGTTCAATGTTTACTCGGACCAGTTATTTAAAAAGGCACTTGAGAGACAACCATATGGAATAAAAATCAACGGGGAACTAGTTAATGTGATTAGATATGCAGACGATACAGTAATTCTATCAGATAATATTGAAGGTCTTCAAATTCTGCTTGATCGTATTCACGAGGTAGGAGAGGAAATGGGCATTAAAATAAACTCAAACAAAACCAAATTTTTACTGTTTAGTCGTGACCCACATCTCGATGCAAAGCTTCAATTGAACGGAGTCCAAGTGGAGAAAGTTCACAAAATGACATATTTGGGAACTATGATAGCACACCAACTAGATCCAGACATAAAAATAAAACGTAGAATAGCAATGACTAAAACTATTTTTATGAAAATGAAGTCATTTCTTTGCAATAACCATCTCAGTTTAGAACTAAGGCAAATAATTGTTAAGTGCTATGTTTGTTCCGTACTTTTGTATAGTGCAGAAGTGTGGACGCTAAAAGTATTGATCATGAACAAAATTGAAGCACTGGAAATGTGGGTTCATAGACGAATGCTAAAGATGCCTTGGACAGAAAGAAAAACTAATGAAGAAGTATTAAGGAGGGTCAACAAAGATAGACAACTGCTAAAGACTGTTAGACATCGAAAAATGTCTTATCTGGGACATACACTAAGGTGAAGTCGATATAAAATATTACAACTGATCCTTAAAGGCAAAATAGAGGGCCGTTGAGTTGTAGGAAGAAAACAAGTTTCTTGGTTAAAAAACATTCGTGAATGCACTCGGATACCAAATGCAGGACAATTATTCCATATTGCAGAAGATTGAGAAGCCTTCGCAATGATAATCGCCAACGTCGGATAATTCTGATATGGCACGCGAAGAAGAAGAATCCAATCTTGTGAAGAAACATATCTAGTGAAGAAATGTTTTAGTTCTGTGTGTATATTGAAAAACAGACAAAGAAATAGGCTCGACATAACAGAAGGAGGGGATTTGAGGTTGTTATTAACCAACATTAAGCTTCTTTTACACACATATGAAACATATACGAAATGTAAAAATAAATAAATATGGATAATTACCTTTTGTATAGATTTATTGTTTTTTTTTCAATTTAATTGGGGGGGGGGGCGATTGTAATATTCAAAACTGGCGAAACCTGTCTAAAGGGGCGATCATGGGAAAAAGGTTGGGATGCTCTAGATTATACCAATTTTGAGTTTAATACATTTAGATATTTATGAGATTATTACAGATATTTGATAAAAATATCTCTTATCTCTGATTTCTTGGATTTTTTTACAATTTTACAAGACATGTTTTAGCTAATCTATACAATCTGAATAACTTTATTCCTCCTATTGCTATATGGGCCAATAGTCACGGGTCACCCTGTATAGTTAAAAACCTTGTTCAGTGTCCTTTCAAAATATTTTCATCATAACTTTACCTCACTGTTAGTCTCTCACTAACTTATAAGAAAACATTAAACCATAACCTTGCAATTATTGTGTTGCAATTTACTTTATAACGTGTGTAGGTAACAAAATTATCGGGAAAGTGAGGTAGTTGCATCAGGTAACACGTTTTTAACAGTCAATATTTTAAGAATTTAATGTAATGAAAATCTTGTTTGTCAAATTCATTACAGGAATAGTACATTTTACATTAAGTAGTAGCATAGTACAAAAAATATTTTTCTATGTATTACTTTATCAGAATTAAAGAAAAAATAATTTCTTTAAATCGAAAAACGGTAATAACGCAGGCCAAATAGACTAAGATTGAGAGGAATTATTTTTTATTTACCGTCCTCTTTCTGATGGAACTTTCGCAAATTTGGGAGAATTGTAGCAATCGAAAAATGTTCTGTCTGTTCGTGGTTATTCTTTCTTTATTTTTTAACTTAAACTAGACTTATAGTCGTAATTACTTTTAGACTAGGCGGGAAATGTAGAAATTCAGACGATAATTGACATTTTCCGTAGAGAAAGTAATTTTTTGCTAGAATCCCTTCAGGATGTCCCCAATATCGATAATCACGATATGCGCCAGTCGCAAAACCTGTGCTAAATTTTAACAAAATCTGAAAACAATAATTGGAAATTTCTCATTTTTTTGCTCCTATTTTCGTTTATAATTCGGAAAATATTAATGATAGAGAAAAAAATATAAGAAGTTAAAAGTTTCGATATTCAATTTTACACAATATTTCGTTAGCTAGAAATTGAAATTTGAATGTTTATTGTTGAAAAAATAGCATTAATTGGAAAAAAAAGTACAAAAAAATGAAGTAATTCCTTTAAATGTTTTTGACTTTCTAAACTTGACTTGCAAGCACCATATTCCTCCTAGAAAAACTTTTTAATATGTTTAAAACTTGTGTTAAATTTTGTTAAGATCGGTCGGATAGGTTTTGCAGGACGGCTCAAACTTTCAAACGCTTTTTGTAAAATTCAAATCGGTTTACTAGGAGGGCCTAGAAATTTTTTTAAAGTTTTAAACATTTTTTAGGCTTATAAACAAATTTAATAACTTTACGAGCTTTAAACATATCAATTTAAAAATGTATAAACTTAAAGAACATTAAAAGACGTTTCTTTAAAAAAGATACATTCGGCTTACTGGTTGCCGAGATATTAAGGTCAAAGTTGGCATACATTTGCCGTGTAACCATAAGTGATAGAGGGCTCGTTTTTAAACAAATACTCGTCTTGTCAAGTACTTTTTATATGAAAAGTTTTAGTTGCCATGCGCTTCATGGCAACATCCATAAAAAAGACAAATAAAAAACCGTTTTCGCGTAAAATGTCGCTCGGAATGCATGAGAGGTGGTGGTGGGGACATTCACTCGAAATTTGAATCGGCGAGTTCAAAATCATAGCGCGCGCTAAAAATTGCATTATCTCGGCTTCTTGTTAACCAAGTTTGCTCTTTTTTTTTAGTCGATGTCTCGGACGACAAGGATTTTAAATATCATATTTTCACATACCATTTTTAATTGAAATTGGGAAATTTGCAATAAACAATTGTATGTTAAACAAGTAATTGCAATTTATACATTGAAGTACATTGTTACTTTTGGTAAACAAATATGTATTTATAAATTGTTAATAAGTAATTTAAATTGTTAAAACAAAGGCGAACGAATTTTTTTTGTAATAATCAAACTTTTTAAAATAATTAACATTAAAAATAATTTATTTCTGCAGTTTTATCATAATAATGACATTATTTGATTTGAGAATATATTTTGATTCGAAAATGACGTGTATATTGTACGTGTTATTATACTGCTGTGTAATGCTCGAAACTGGTTTTTTTTAGCTTGCAATCTATACATTGAAGTAAATTGTTACTTTTAGTAAACAAATATGTATTTATAAATTGTGAATAAATAATTTAAATTGTTAAAATAAAGGCCAACGAAAAAAAAATTTTTTTCTCTATCACTTATGGTTACACGGCAAATGTAGGTAGGTATGCCAAATTTGACCTTCAATATCTCGGCAACCAGTAAGCCGAATGTATCTTTGTTTTAAAGAAGCGTCTTTTAATGTTCTTTAAGTGTATAAATTTTGTGGTTGATATGTTTAAAGCTAGTAAAGTTATTCAATTTGTTTATAAGCCTAAAAAATGTTTAAAACTTTTTCTAGGGCCTCCGAGTGAACTGATTTAAATTTTACAAAAAGCGTTTGAAAGTTTGAGCCTTCCTTTATAAGTAAAAAAAATTTCAACTATCTGAGGGCCTTATTTAGGGCCTACTATAAATTTGAAAATTTGCGACTTTTTTCCAGTGGGCTGGATTGCAAAATATTATGCAAAACCTATCCGACCGATCGCAACAAAATTTAGCACACGTTTTAAACATATTAAAAAGTTTTTCTAGGCGGAATATGGAGCTTGTAAGTCAAGTTTAGAAAGTCGAAAACATTTAAAGGATTAAATTTATTTTTTTGTATTTTTTTTCCAATTATTGCCATTTTTTCAACAATAAACATTAAATTTTCAATTTCTAGCTAACGAAATATTGTGTAAAATTGAATAACGAAACTTTTAACTTCTTATAATTTTTTCTCTAGGATCAATGGCTTCCTATGGAAAATGTCCAATCCAAAACAGATCCCGCCTAGACTATTTCTATAACTTAATATTTGAATTGTTGACTTGTTTTCTGTCCTTTTTGTACAGAGGTGTAAAGTAAAATATCATCGAGTATTTACTTTTAAATGTATTGGAATTTACAACTTTTTGCTTTTAAATCAAGTACCCATTAGACTTGGCGTTTCCGGCTGAATATACTGTTGTGTTTCTGAAACATTTGAAACATTTCTTTCGTCGGTTTTTTCTCTCCTTCTGCACTTCCACTTCTTGCAACTACATTTACAATTCACATATCAGTTGATCTGTGAATGTTTTTCTGTTTATAAATCTTTATTATCTCCTCTCATTAGAGGACAGAATATAAAGACAGAATTTAATATAAATTTGATTAAATTAAAAAAAAACGTAATAAAAGTAGTTTTTATTATTTATAAAAGTATTCAATTACAGATTGAATTGATATGTTTATTACTTACTGAGTCTGCTTTGTATATAGTTATATAATTATATTCGGCCTCATCTCATAAATAAATAATCGTCAATAATAACTTTCTCAATAATAAATAATTGTAATAAATAAGTCTCTTGGCGACTTGTCCACCTTCCTAGAAATGGAGAATGAGCTAAGGACGACAGCTCCCTGGGAGGATGCACAATGGGTCAATTGTGGCCTAAGTGCTGTGGAACATAACTCGCCCTACCTACTCTATAGATACAGATAATTACATAACTAACTATGAAGTATTAATATATAGTAAATTGATATATCAGTTGTTTGTCACTGTTGTAATTTCTAGTCCTAGTGCATCTCCCACATGTGTCAGCGTGGCTGACTTTATATTGGATATACCCGCCAAGGCGAGCAAATCGGACGACGATGTCTTCACATTTATATCTATCTCACCCTCCATCAGCAACAGACCATATACCAGAGAAAGACAGATATCTATCTGCGAATCCGAAGACAGTTTTATCGTCTTTGACAGTGGCACTGATGAAGAATTGAAGTTTTCCGATTCGGAGGATAACGCTGAATTGGATTCAGAAGACACTGATGATGGCGACGACGATGAAGTCGATGGTGGTTCGGATTCAGAAATCGATGACGACTGCGACTCTTCATTCTCGGTGGTGCCTTGTAAGAGGGTAAGTTTAGTTTTATGAATATTTATTCTTACTTATTTTTTTATTTTTTACGCACAACAGGCCGTTAAGGCCTAGGGCATTTTTTTATTTATATTGGTGTACAATATTTCTCCATTCGTTTCTATTTTGTGCTTTTATTTTCCAGTCCCTCACCTTCACGTGTTTAAGGTCTTCCTTCGCTTTACTAATCCACCTCGTTCTGGGTCTACCTCTTCTTTTGGGGCCGATTAATTTTCTGGTTATTACTAGTTTATGCATTCTGTTTGCTGCCATTCTTTCCACGTGTCCCAACCATCTGATTCTTTATGCCTTGACGAACTTGGTAATGGTAGGTTCTTTGTATACAGCCATTAATTCATTCTTGGTTCTTCTCTCCCAACTATCTTCTGTCTTCCGTCCTCCGAATATGCGCCCAATATTTTCCTTTCCCATCTTTCCAGAGTATCCTCTTCCTTCTTATTTAATGTCCGTGTCTCACCGGCATATGTTACTGTGGGTCGAATTACTATTTTATATATTCTGAGTTTACCTGGTCTAGAAACGTATTTTGAGTTCAGTAGGGCTCTTAAACTACCTAATTTTTTATTCCCTTTTGCTATTCTGACTTTGAGCTCCCATTTCTCTTTTCCATTTTCATCGAAAACTACACCCAGCTATTCAAATTTGTTCACCCTTTTAAAACTATAGCTTTTACCACTTACTGACCTCACACTAAAGTCTTCTTTTTTCCCTTCTGTCCCTCCCATGATCATATATTTGGTTTTGTCTTCATTTAGTTCCAATCCGAATTTCTATGCTTCTTTGATGATTTTCTTCACAACTCTTCTTAATTCTTTCTCGGTTTTTGCTAGGATCGTTAGATCGTCAGCAAATGCCAAGCACTGGTGCTCATTTTTCATGATCGTTTCTTCCACCTTCATGCTGCATTTTCTAATTACAGTGTCTAACACTAAGTTGAATAATGTAGTGGATAAAGGATCTCCCTGTCTCAAGCCTTTTGTAACTGTAAATTGATCTGATATGTGACCCTGTCAAGCAATTTCACACGTAGAGTTATTAAGTGTCATTTTAACTAGCCGGATCAGTTTCTTTGGTATACCCAAATGTTCCATTGCTATGTACTTTTTGACTCTATCGACTCGTATCATATGCTTGTCTAAAATCCACAAACAAAACATGCAGGGAAACTTTACCTTCATAACAAGTCGTTTGTATCTCCTTTAATGAGAAGATTTATTCTACAGTAGATCTGTCCTTTCTAAAGCCGGCCTGATATTCATGCAGGATTCTTTCCGTGTAGCAATTTAGTTTATTTCTCAATATTCTTGCCAAGATTTTGTATACCGTGTCTAATAAAGCTATACCTCTATAGTTGTCACACTTCAGTTTGTCTCCTTTTTTTTAAGCAGAGGGCATATGCGGGCCTCATACCACTCCGATGGCATTACTTCCCATACTTACACTAGTAGCTGATATATTTTTCTTTGTAGTTGTTCTCCACCAAACTTGATCATTTTGTATGCATATGTCATTTTTTCCAGGACTTCTGTTATTTTTCATTTCTTGTATTGCTGTCACCACCTCCTCCTCTGTAGACTACCTTTCAACTATCGTATCTTCTCCAACTGTCCAGTTGTCTACTGCTTCGTGGTCCTCCTCACCATTTAATAATTCTTCAAAATGTTTTTTCCATTCCGTCATTATTTCTGCCGGATCGCTAACTAAATTTCCGTCTTTACCTTTCATATAACTACAGTGGCTTTGGTAACCTTTTCCCAGATTTTTAACGTCTTGATAGAACGACCTCACCTCTTTATTTTTAAACTTCTCTTATATCTCTTTTAATTTCAACTCATTGTGGTTTCTCTTTTTCATTCTACACAGAGCTTTCAATTTTCCTCGAACAATTCTATATTCTTGTTTTTTATACTCTCTATTATCTGTTAATATTTGTTGTCTGATTTACTTCTTTTTCTTTGCTATCGCCTGACACTCTTCGTCAAACCAATCTTTGTTTGTACTTATCTTGGAGTCGCACTTAACTATTTTCTCGCTAGCTTCTCCTACGGCAGTTTTAATTTGTTCCCAGACTTGATCTGTCTGTAAATTTTGGTCACATTTTTGTAGAATTTTATTTATTTCTTCTTCATATTTATTTTTTATTTCTACTTCCTTAAGTTTTTCAATATTGTACTTTCTATTCTTTTTATTGTTCGATTTCTCTTTTTCTTGCAGCCTCCTCCCACATGTGACATTAACGAGGTAACGGTCCGAGTCGATTTCAGCTCCTCTCATACTTCTTACCTTCTGAACGATATTCATATATTTACTTTCAATCATAACATGATCTATTTGATTCACCGTCCTTCTATCTGGGAAGACCCACGTACCTTTGTATATTTCTTTTCGTTTTAGTTGTGTGCTTCTCACCACCATGTTTTTCTCCATGACAAATCCAATAAGTCTTTGACCATTATCGTTTGTTACTTCGTGTTTACTGTAGTTACCAGTTACCTCAGTGTACAGAGGTTCTTTTCCCACTTTAGCATTACAATCACCCATTATTGTTATTCTTACTTATAGAAGACTAAAATATTGATTGTATACTACTGAAATTTTTCATCATTTATATAAAAGTTTTATTTAAAAATCCGTTATAAAAGGTATATAATTTCGGGCTACATCACAGAACGTTTCCTGACTAAAAATCCATCATCTGTGATGTAGCCTGAAAGCTTGTTTTTAAGTATACAGTATCGGTGAAAGTTTATGGTCGGTATGGACCTTACGTGAGATGGAGTGAGAAATATCTGTTTAAAAAGATAGAGGTACATTAGATCCGCCCTTTATATATAAATATATTTAATATTATATCAATATTAATAGATATATTAATTAATAGATATATTTAATATAACTTGAAAAATTAACTAAACAATACAAATAGTAAATCGTACTTACATTTACATTACACGTTATTATTAAATTGCGAATGGTCTAAATTGACATTTAAAAACATTATTTTTTCTACTTTACTTCTTGTTAACCGCGTTCTTCTTTTATTTAAAATTAAATCAGATTTTGAACATGTGTTCACATTTACAATATTTTATGAATATAGTGGTTAAGTTAAGATATACATGGCGATGGTTTTTCCACCATTGTAATGGACAAGTCATCTTTATCGGTTTCTTTTTCTTTTACTGGTTGATTTTCAATAGTACAATTTTCTTGTATCCCGATAGAGGGCAGACTTACTTCAGGGAAATAGCGTCCCTGCCCACGCGAGCTCCTAGTTTTTCCTCCACTCCCCGCTTAGAGGAAAACAGGTCCAAACCCCAGTATTATCCTACCCTAAACCCCAAATTCCTTCCCTATATCCCCACCACACTCGCCAACCCGTCTTGCCAGCGTGGCGAGTTATGGCTAACTCACCCCAAATGAGTTTTAAAACAAGAGGATTTGGTCCCCAGGTGGGTGCTCAATCCCACACCTCTAAGGAGGTCAGCCTCATGGAATCTGGGGGAGGCAAAAACTCATTAAAACACCGAAAGCAACATATCTATATTGCTAGTTTCAATGCCAGAACCCTCAAATCACCCGAACGAATGGAAGAACTGGAAGAAGAACTAACTAAGATCAAGTGGGATGTCCTTGGTCTAAGCGAAACGAGACTGCCAGGAGAACAATGTACAATACTCCATTCAGGACACATGTTCTACCAATTCCATAATGAGTACAATACACATGTCGGCGGTGTAGCACTATTGATCCACAAAAGACTCAAACATCTGGTCACAAAATCTGCTGCAATCTCGGAGAGGGTCATTTACATCGTTCTTAAACTATCAGAAAGGTACAGCATCCAAATAATTCAAGTATACGCTCCCACTAGTCAATCCACAGATGAAGAAATAGAGAAATTCTATGAAGATATTTCTAAAGCAATGACAGAAAGAGCTCATTTTAAAATAATCATGGGAGACTTTAACGCCAAAGTAGGGAAGCACAACACCGGCAACATACCAAATAGAGGAATATATGGGCTAGGAACTACAAATGAAAGAGGAGAACGGTTACTAACATACACACAGGAACAAAATCTATTTTGTATGAATACATTTTTTAGTAAACCAGATAATAGACGGTGGACCTGGATAAGCCCAGACGGGAAAACCAAAAACGAAATCGATTACATATTAGTCAACCAGAAACAGATAATAAAAGATGTAGCGGTGCTCAACAGATTCAGTCTGGGAAGTGATCATAGATTAGTAAGAGCAAAAATAATAATCGATAACAAATTAGAAAGAAACAAACTAATCTTGCAAAAACGAACCCTAACTACTAAAGAGCTTGGGCAAAACAGTACCAACTACCAGAAATATCTTGAGTCTAGTCTAGAGCCAATGGAACAGCTAAAAGAAAAAGACATAAATAATTTGGAAGAAACGATAAGAACGAGTATAATCTCTGCGATCAAAAAAACCCATACGATGCCGAAACCGAAAGATAATAAATTGAAGACAGAAACACAACAGATGATTAGGGACAGAAGCCGCATGGATCGAAATTCACCAGAATATAAGAAACTTAATAAGGCAATAAGAACAAGAATTAGACAAGACATCAGGGACAACAACACCGAAAAAATCGAAAACATTATAGAGAAAAACAAGAATATGAAAGTGTTAAAAACGCTAAATAGCAAAGGCCGACAACAAATACACCAAATAAAGGATAAAAATGGAATCATTAGAAACGACAAAAATCAGATAATAAACATTGTCGAAGATTATTATACAGAATTATACTCGTCCAGCGTAGCAAAACCTGAAACCCATGATATGGAACGAAGAATACTAAATGTAGGATCTGAAACACTACCAGAAATTACTACCGAGGAAGTTGTAAATGCCTTAAAGCAAATGAAAAATGGAAAATCTCCTGGAGACGACGGAATAACAAAAGAGATGATTACAGCTGGAGGTCAAACTACT